ACAGAGAGTTAGAGATAAGGTTGCTGGAAATCAAGGAGAGCTTTTTCATTTCCTCGTGCAATAGCAAGAGTTTCAAATGGGACGCAATGCAGCTAATGAGAATGAGAATGTTGATAAAATACATTAATGAAGATGCTACACTATAAAGATGAGAACATTGATGTAGTTTGCAACTTTTTTGCAGAACTTTTTGGACCAAAATATAGTTTGTTCGACTGGTCATCTCAGAAAAACCTCCTATCCACTATGGAAAACGCTTAACCAGAAACACAAAATTATGTTAGTGCTCACTAACCGTCAAAAACTACCGATGCACTTATAAAGTGTGATTTGAAAAGACAAATTCACCGTATTTATATGCTATATTTGTGCATCCGGCACAGCTGTGACTTTGGACACTCATACTTGCAAATCCTTTTGCAACATAACAATTAATTAATTCACGATTCCATTTACAAAGTTATCTATAGACTCTATGAAATCCAACAAATCAATATTACAACTTATGATGAATATGGAGTCATCAGATGCGATGTCAATAAAAACTTGTAAGATATTGCTGGACAGTTCTTCAAGTTCTGAATGATCTCCTAAGCGGGCTTGCGTTTATGGTTAGAAAACTGATGACTGTGATTGCGGTGGTCCTGGACGAAGCTGGTAATGTTTGATCCAAATTTTGTTCCCGATCAGTTTCCCGCCTCTGTGAGACTACATCCATGCACATATAACAGCATCTTCTTCAAAGCGTCAAGGCTTCCTTTACGCGACTTTGCCCTTCATGATATCGAAGGTGATTGGCATGCTTTTAACAAACTTATTTACCAATCTTTACCTCAGAGCTTACTGATCCAATGCACTTCAGCATGGTTCCTTCTGCCAACTAAAAGTAGGACGGCATTGCTTTGCTTAAACAAAATCATTATCTTCAAAATCTCTCCAAAGAGCAACATGCTTCTTATCGGAAGCTTTGTCCGCTCTCGGCTTTTTCTACGAGAGAGTATCCATCAATTTCTAGCTGCGGCGCTAATAGAC